GGGGCCGGGGGGGGGGTGTTTCCAAGTGCCCAGCGAGAAGGGGCTTTGCCACCAATTTTCAGAAGGGGGGCAGAAAGGGGGAAGGCGGTGGTGGGCAGGACCCCTGGGCTGCCGGCTGCTTGAGGGCCAGGGGTTGAGCTGAGCGGAGGCGTTGGCGGGCGCAAGACTGCCGGGCCCTACACGGCCAGCTCTGGCAGGCAGGCGAGGCCCCCGGCCAGAGGATTCCTTCTTCTCCCAAAGTGTCGCCTGGCAGGAAACGGCCATCCTCGCCCCCTTTCTGGCACCGCTCGGTGGCCGGCCGCCAAGGCGCTGACCTTCTCCACCTCCACGCCTTAACCTGTGGCTGGCCGGGGGCCAGAGGGAGACGTGCTCCGTCTTGCACGGACCTCCTCGGAGCCCTGGAGCGACCTGGAGAGAAAGCCCCCTTGACTTCCGCCTGCGAAGGGAAATTGCCCATGTCTCCCGGGGCCGGTCCAGTGACATTCTTCTCTTCAGAGAAGCAAGGGTGCCTGGCGAGGGGGGGGGGAGGAAAAGGCCATCTGAGACCCAGAGCAAAGAGAGCAGGCGGATGAAACATTAACCGTGCCTCGTGCGCCTGGTGTCGCAGCTTGGGAAGTGCTGGCTGGGGTCTGCAGGAGGAGATCAGGGGGTCTCGTGCCCCCGAGCAAGCCTTGGGAAGAAATTTTGCATTGGGCGAGGCACCAGCCGGCTCTGCTCGCCCGGGGAGGACACGGCGGTGGCTCCCTGGTGCTTCCTGTCCTTCCTCTGCTCTGGGAGCTCCCGGGAAAGGAGAAACCTCAGACTGCCGGGGGGCTGTTGGGACCCCCAGGGGGACGCAGGAGCGCGGGGCAAAGTTCTGGAGAAGGTCCTCCCGCAAAGTGGAGGCCTGGCTGGGAGACGGAGCCTTTAAAACTCACCTGGCTGTGTGGATTGGGGCCCCTGCCTGAGCCTCTGCTGCTGGGGAAGCCAGCGGGTCGGGGAGCAACTCGGAGAAGGAAGGAGAGGAAGGGGGATTGATCCGTCCCCTCCGTTGCTGGAGAGGAACCGCGGGTCAGCCCAGCCAGCGGCCTCCGACGGCCATCGATGGAGAGCTGCGGAGCAGGAGGGGTCCGACAGTTGCTGGGACCATGAAGCTTTGGCTATGGGGAAACCTGGTAAGTGTGTTGTTCCACAGGCTGCCAAGGGGGAGGGCGGCCCTGCAGTGCCAGCCACGGCGATCGATGGTGCTGGGCACTTGCCAGAAAGGTTGGCCGCAGGGTGACAAGCGGGGCCCACGGAGCTGCTAAAGGTTGCCCCTCCCGCCCATCAGAGCCCACAATCTTTGGGGGGTTACCCATTGCCCCCTGCCTGGAGAAGGCTTGTGACGATCTGGGTTTCAAGTTTAGCCTGTTGTATAAAGCCAGCCAGTTTATCACCAGGGAGGAGCACAAGACTTGTGCACTCAGACCAGGGTCTTGGAGAGAGGAGTGGAGGGGTGAAGCAGCTGGAGTGGTTGGGGACATTTCCATTTCTAGCCCTGTGCAAATACCTCTCGCACGTTATCTTAGGGAAGTGAAAACCGACCCTGCCAGGTGGGCCGGCGGTATCCTCTCGATGTTGCGAATGGGAGGAAGGGGGCGAAAGTTGCAGGTTCAGGGGACTCCGCTTGGTGTAGAGTTGCACATTTCGGAGAGGGGGTGTTGGCAGCGGTTGTCGCGGCAGGGAGAAAACGAGGCTTGTTCATATCCCCTTGGGAGCGCGGGGCTAGGACACTGCTGCTCGGGTGGCCCGAACCCGAGGATGTGGGAAAAATCTTGCGCATATTCCCAAGTTAGACCGCACCGGACTTTGGACGCACTGGAGAGAAACCAAATTAGTAAAGCATGAAGGAATGGAGGGGCTGATAAGGAATCTGTCAACACTGCAGGCTAAGAGGAGAGGGCTGAAGTGGGCGTGTGGGGCAGAGGAGGTGAGAAACGCTGAGTCGCCACAGCAAAATGAAAAAAGGGGGGGAGAAAAGCCCTGCTCCCTGCTGAGATCCGCTGGGACCGGCCGGCAGCTTCTCAGCCAGTCCCCGGGCTTGGCGGCGACCCCCAGGTCCGTCCTTAAGGCTAAATTCTGAAGCCGGGCACGGCCACGGGAGGCGGGCTGCGAGGCGGTGGGGTGGGCTGGCAAAGCGGGAAGGCCAGGCAGCAGCAGGGGGCAGGGGCAGACGGGCCCCAGGAGCCTGAAAGAGGGAGGAGAGTCGGCAACCTGGAGCAGCCGGGCCACCTGTCCTGCCCGAGCAAATCTGGTCCCCGCCTGGCAGCGACCTGGTGCAAGCGCCCGACACCCTCTCCCTGCCACCTCTTGACCGCAGCCTTTGTTTCTCCCCACTCCTGCAGGGCTGATCCTTTTCCTGTTAGTGTGGGGATTCTTGGACCCAGCCCTGCCTGCCCCCGCCCGGCCCGTGTGTGACCAAAGCGTCATGAACAAGTTCATCCAGGACGCCAGCAAGATGGAAAATGAAATCGTAAGTCCAGGCGCTGCTCCTGACAGCCTGCCCGGCCCCCTCTTGGTAGCTGGCCAAGCCCTCCCGTTTCTCGGAGGAGCACACGTCTACCCAAGGCTTAAACCAGGGGTCACTGACGGTCCTGATGCTGAACCTGGGAAACACGGAGCAAGTTCACGCCGACTCTGTGGAGCACCCCCCCTCAAAGACTGTCTGCTGGAAGGCAGATAGATCCTGCGGCAAACGCCCTGGTCCGGCTTAGGGCTCTTCTGTGACCCTGAAGTTGCAGGGGAATCTTTCAGGAACCCTTCAGAGCCTCGAGGCAAAGAAAATGTCCCGTTTTTCCACAGGTGGCACTTTGTGAAGATTCCTGCAACTTGCCGGAACACGTGACAGTGATGGACACGAGGGTGAATTTTCCCGATTGGAGAGCAATGAATGTAAGTCGGATCTGGGCCATGCCGGAGCTGTGGGAGCCCCGGGGCTGGGGAAAGGGCCCATCTGCTGACCGCCTTCTCCCCCCCTTTCTGCCAGAGATCCAGGCAGGCCTCGGAAGTGTGGTGGGGCCAGGCCCTTCTTTCCGTGGCCGTCGGCCAAGTCAAGACCCAGCAGCCGAGGATGCGGCCCTTCCTGCGCCAGCTGGAGGTGATGGAGAGTGGCCTGCGAAGCATCCGGGAGATCCTGCGCAGGCACAACGCCCAGGTGAGCCCCGGCGGGAGAGGGTGGCCTGGCCAAGCTGCTCGGGCGGCTTTGGGAGGCCAGGAAGGGCTTGGCTGGGGCTCAGAGGCTCCCCGCGGAGGGGAAGGTCTGGCAGCGTGGATGCTCCTGCCTGTCAGGGGTCTTCTGGGGAGCGGCGGGGGGTCTTTGCAGAGGCCCCGAGGCACACTCTTCTCCAGCCGAGGGAGGGGCAGAGAGAAATGGTTCCCTTGGCCGTTTTGTCCAAGGAAACGCAATTGTGTTGGGACCATGCGTCGTTCTGCTTAGCAATGGAAGGGCTGGCTCTGCAGGACACACATTATCAGGCCGGCGAAGAGCTTGGCCGGCACCTTTGCGCAAACCACAGTGCTGGCTGAGGGCTACCTTGGCTAAGCTTCTGGAGGACAAGTGTGTCACACGGTTAGTTCGTGGTTAGGTGTCACGTGCCAGTCTAGAAATGGTGACAGTTCAGGAAGCCAGCTAGTATGATAGCAAAGGTCTAAGGGACAAGCCAGGCAATTTTCCGTGCTCGTTCTGCACCATCAGTTTGGCCTGGAAAGACACAAGCAAACACCTTTTGGAAGATGCGGCTGAGCAGGACCAGTCCTCTTTGGAGGATGGGAAGTAGCCTGGGGTGAGGAGCTGCCCGCTGTGGGGAAAATACATGTTTGGGGTGAAGAAAGTGAACTTCTAGAGGCTTCAGGTGAATGGGAGCGCGTTAATGAAACTGAAACATAAAAGAACGCGCAGCACCCTTAAGGCTGGTGTGGACTACCAAGGCGCCCGCCGTGAAGGAGGTGGTGTTCTTCCTGGCCTTTGGCACCCCGAACGGATCCGTTCCTTCTTCTCAGCAAGGCTATCGTTTCCTTGTAGATAGCAGATAACAGAGGGGCAGAAAGTCACTGGAGATCCGTTTCTTACTTAGGTATGCCTGCATCATCGTGTGAATGTGCGTGTATGCGTCCTTTCCCCTTCCCCCTTTCTGTAGTGGTTAAATATAAGAGACTCTCTTTTT